CTGTTGTGTGATATTGTTTAAACGGGCTTTTGACGTAGGCTCAGCGACACACAAAACAACAACGGGTTCCATGGTCCCACTCTGGACTCCATTTTACCCTCGATCCCACACACAGGGACCCATCGTCGCCGTGCACTTTAATAGAACTCGTGATCACTGAACAAGTACAGTGACCGCATCGCACGCTTTCAGATGCGCTTCTGCGGCCGTCTGGAACGCTCTTCCAATATTAGGAAAACCACTGTAGATGTGCACTGTTACATCTAGATTTGAAAGCTCATTTCTTTAGAGCTGCCTTTTGTGTTCAGTTTGCTGTCCTTCCCCCTGCACTTCCGATGAGCGTGGTTTGCGACGTACGATGCTAAAGAAGTTCAACAAACAGTAACATTTACAGGGGCAGGCTCAGCCTTAAACAAGACTGGTTCCTTGGTCTCACTCCACAGATGTATTTAAATTCTAATTACCCCCTCCCCTCCCCTTGACCTACACAGGGAACAGCATGGGCCATCTTCATTCTCAAAGTGTAACAAAATTAGTCTGCTAAATACCTTCCGTTTCATGTGATCCTCCAGACAAATTCCCGTATCCTTAGTCGCCCCCTCCACCCTGCTCCTGCTCAAAGTCCCCCACTATCCGAGAATCAAACTCGGTTTAAATTCCTTCTGTGTGGCGGGCCCCCCTAATCTGTGGAATATCCGAGCGAAAACGTTTGGGAGCACAAACGTCACCATCCTCGTCCGACTTTAAATCGCTCTGGGACCTCATATTTTCCTTGACGTGTACGTGCAATTGATCGCCCAGCTTTGCTTTTTTGATACGTGACGCGTTCTATTCACCATGTTGTTTTCTTGGGCCGGTATGTACCATGTTCATGCTGCGGCCTTGCCGTTCGGCATCGCGTGCAGTTTTTTTAGGATCTTTTTTTTGTGCGCGATGTTTTTGTTCAGTTGTTGCTGCAATCGAGCTTCCATGGTGTAACCAGGTGCCCATCGAACATCGGCACACACCTTCCCAATGGGATTCACCTGTGCCCAAAATAAATGAATGAAACAAAAACCTCTGAACGTGCCGTGGGAGTTTCGCCGGCATCCAGCACGGGCTCCCAGCGCGGATCACCGTAGAATCCGAGAAGGGGCAACACAGAGACGGACAGCCGCTCCTCCCCTCAAAGAATCTCCCAGGTGCCGGAGGGCGCAATGGCGGGGCGCCCGTGCCGAGCGACGGGCGGCACAACCCCAAAGTGCACGCCCGCTCAGGGGGGGGCCTCCGTTGAGTGAAAACCCTTCGCAGGACAAACACTGTGCGCGGCCGCGTCTTGTTGACATTTAAATGACGGGCCGCAGGAAATGAAACGTTCCGTAATGTGCGTATAATGGCCATTGTGTCATTGCACATGGCCCCGCATACAAATGTTAGAGTGTTCCAATAGTGACGGGGACGCCAGCCAATCCCATTGTGTGTGTGGGACAGGGAGCGGGGGGGGGGGGTGATAGCAGCTCGTTCCGATTAATGGACGAGGGAAAAAAAAACCTAATGCAGCGAGGCCAAGGCTTCCACTCTCTTTCATCACGCGAGTATTAGTAACGCCCGATGAAATATTGCTCATCTCTTTAGTTAAGAGATGAGCAGTTCATAATAAAGGTTTTTGGGTTAGATCGCGTTTATTTATAAATGTGTCGTAACCCTCCACCACCCGACACGGCCAATCAGCAAAAAAAGTGTCACGTTGACAAAAGACAAATAATTCACTACTTTAGCCCACCGGTGTGTTGAAGAGTGAATCCACATTACAGTTTTTTTTTTGGGGGGGGGGGCAGTGTTTGAAGGCTAACCTCTCGTAGCTGGTGGGCCTTGGCTCACAGGAGAACCATCAAGCCTCGTTGATGCCAGGAGAATGGTCCATTCTCTCGCGGAAAAGAAGTGGACGAGGCCCGATGAGCACGAACGATGCACGCCGCATTCCTAATGAGACTCGCGCCGCTTGCAGACAAAGTGAAGGAGTGAATGGAATTACTTTGTGGGGGAACTATGATCCTGGCGTGCAGTTTGCATGTGGTTCATATTGAAATCAAAAGAGATTGTTGAATACAGGTTTTGGTATGCTAAAAAAGCTACAATTTTCTGAATTGACATTGGATTATATCAATTAGTAAATAATAATTATTACCACTGGCAGTCCACTGCTGAATAGAGGCCTTTCCATGCCCCGTCGGTCGTCGGGAAAATTTGACCATACTTCACCACACTGTGATGTTTGAGTTGGTGAAGGGTGAGGAAATGAATGCTCACTAGAACCTTTTAAGATGTCACTTGCCACTTATGTTAGTGATGGCTGGGAATCAAACTAAGATTGCTGGGTTCACCACGCAATGCGTGAACCTTGGCGAAAAAACATTTTTTATTTTACCAGGTAAGGCCCACTGCTGAGCTACATAGCTCTTTTTCATAAGCGACCTGGCCACAGAGGATAGCTCAACGAAGTGGCTTATCACGTGGAAATGTATAGCAGCCAAATTACTCTGAATGCACGTTGTGTCTAAAATGTGGAGGGAATAACCGGAGGGCCCAGAGAAAAATCCACGCGACCACAGGGAGAACATGCAAACTCCAAATATACAATAGTCGTCAGGATCGAACCGACGACCCCCTGTATAGCAGGTAGTTAGCGTCTCGCCACCATCTGAGCCGGGTCTGCACCCAGTACACCACATCCAGTCCACCTCTCACGTGCCTACTCCAGTCTACGAGCCACTCAGAATATATTGAGTGAGAAATTCAGCACCACTACACCATCATCTCACCTCCGCCCATTACCACTCTGCCTGCTCCACCCCCCCCCCCTTTACAAAATAATGTGTACATGGGGTTAAATAGGTCAAATACGATGCATTCTCGTGCATACAAATAATTTAGTCTTGTCATGAGATTTTTTTTCACCCTGAAAGTCTGTCCGCATTTTATCGAGCGTCGTTTTCCCGAGCGAGCGCGTCCCATCGAACGGTAATGAATGCTGTGGAATCCCGTGATCTCCAGCGGTCTGTGAGCTAATTAGGTTCAGAATTAAAAAAAAACCTGCCCCGGGTTAGCCAGGGCAAAACAGCCCCTGGCATTTAGAAAGGTATCCGGCTCGATTTACAGCGTTCCGCGGGACAGAGCGGAACCGCGACAGCGCTGCCTCTCATAATCTGTGGGACGACAGTGGCGTAATTAGGGGCTTACAGAAATTAACTGCACATGACGCCTACAGGTTTCTTATTTTCTTTCGGGAAGATTAAGTTGTTGCACCATTTAGCCATCGTTGCAATTGCCGTGCCAATTTTTTTGCATCCTGGCAGCGGCTTTTGGGCTAGCTATCGAATAAGGACGGGTCACCACATCGCGCGCTTTCAGATGCACTTCTGCGGCCGTCTGGAATGCGCTCTCCCTTCCGATACTAGGAAGCCACTGGAGCTATGCACTTTTAAACCTAGACTGAATACTAATTTCTTTAGAACTGTTATTTGTGTTCAGTTTGTCCTTCCTTCCTCCACACCTCCGATTAGCACGGTTGACTACGTATGGTGCAGAATAAGTTCCACATATAGATTAACATAGCCGGGCAGTAGTGGCACATGTTGGTAAATACAGCGCTGTGGAGGTGAGGATTGGTGGATCACACAAATGTTGGGAAACTCCCTTCCCGTGGGTCGAGAGGAGCTATGCCCTGGCTTGCCAGGAGAAGGTGGTACAGCAGAGTATGGTCTCTAATCTGTCAGTTTAACACCTAGGCTTTCGCGACAATTATTTTTCATAATAAAGTTTTTTTGAGTTTGTGTAAATATCAATGTGTCATAAAACCAGCCACTCTCCGACACAGCCAATTAGTACGGTTTGTCAGGTAAGCAAAACGTGCTTATTAGTTACTATTTCAGCACACCGGTGTGTTGGAGAGTAAACCCACAACGTTTGCAATTCGACAAACGACTTAATCTCCTGAAAAAAAGGCATTCGCCTTTCTGGCTATAATCCCCCGATGAAGCTGGTTGTGATCACCAGCAAAAACGTCGTCCTCGTATTATGGATAATATAATTTGTCCCTTCCCTATAAGATAGAGCGTTGCCCCCTCACAAGCTTTGGTTTGCGCCGGTTTCTTCCCGCACGTACGAACACGCATTAATTAGATGATTTACAATGTGGGGGTTGCAATCCAGTTTGTCTGTGGTTCCCCAGTGATTGCGAGATTAAATTTGCATGAATAATGCGATATTAAACTAAACATTATTATTATTATTATTTAGACCTGTGTGACAACATTTCAATTGTGTTCACACGTGCGTGTGTTTACACCAGCGGTGCTCTACACCTGTGTGGTCTCTTTTCCAGAGGATGAAGTCGTTTGCCTTTTTACGTCTGCGTGCGTTTAAACGTGAACTGCAGATACGTGTGCGTGCGTGCGTGCGTTCAACGTGTCCGTCCATTACACCTGTGCACACTTCAAATTGTGAACTGCGTATACGCGTCTGCTCACGTTCAGGTAACGTGCCGTAGCACAACGTGTTTTAGTTTTGATTTAAAGCTTTCGTGACTGCAGTAATTCATATTCTTAGTTTTTTCGGTAAAGTCACGTTGAAGGGAAACAACAAAATAATAAAATATATATAAAAAACAATAAAAAAATTCTCACGACGTTTCGACCATAACTCAAACGGTCATCTTCTTCACACCTGAAGATGACCGTTTGAGTTATGGTCGAAACGTCGTGAGAATTTTTTTTATTGTTTTTTATATATATTTTATTATTTTGTTGTTTCCCTTCAACGTGACTTTACCGAAAAAACTAAGAAAACGTATTTTAGCTTCATAGGAACTATCAGCGTGTGCATAATATTATCAAAATGCGCTAATCCTACGTTTGTGCTGTGTTCTCAACGATTAACGTGGACACATTGAAATGTACGAATTCCTCGCCGCGGGAAAAAAAAAATTTCGGGACGATCTCACCGCTCTCTTTCTTTTGCAGCAAAACTATCGATATCAAAGTTATTGACGATGAAGAGTATGAGAAAAACAAGACATTCTGCGTTGAGCTGGGAGAACCTCGCTTGGTGGAGATAATCCTTAGTCCAGGTGGAGTGCCGCCTGCGGGAGTTGACGTCACGTGTGTGTGTGATGTTTGCGCGTGTGCCTGTAGGTTCATCGGGGACACAGTCGGAATTATATCCACGGCGGGTGAATGTTGGTGGCACTGTGTTTTTTTTTTTACAAATTCCTCATCAGAACCCGAGTTCAGAGTGGACTTCAGTCTCTATTGCTTTACCGCTGCGCAGCAGCAGCCGAGTTTAATTTATATTCGCGGGTGGAAATGCAGGTCATTGAACCGAGCCATCAGTTTTTGACGTCGTCATAATGGTTGTACAAATATAAAAGGAGTCCTCAAATGGCCCGGTAATTTTCTTTTCTTCCTCCCTGCGCTCTCTCTCCCGGGTGTGAAAGGGTCCGAGCCATTTGCATTTCCAATGGCGGACGCAGCAAATGGGCAAAGCCTATCCGGTCGGGACAATTCGGTAGCGCCGTTGCCCCAGAGCGTGACGAAGTGCCACCCCGCGCGCGCCGCGGTGCGATATTGCCGACTGTGTCTGCGTGTTTGGGCTCCAGGTCCCCCATCCGCCTCCGCGCCCCACCCCCACCCCCACCCCATCTGCATGCGCTCATTGCTGCCTGGCGCTCTCCCACTGTGCCCTTGTCCCTCCCACCTTCTTTGCAGGAAGACGATTCAGGTTCATATAAATAATGATGGGGAATATGAAAAGCAAGAGAATTTCTTCATTGCGTTGGACCATCCTAGGTGGATGAAGACCCCAGGTGTGCGAGCACGGTTTGTTTTGCGGTTGGCCTAGAGCCCTACTTGCCCATTCTTCTTCCTCTTCCTCCGCTCTTGGAGACCGGTGCACCTTCAATGTCCTTCCCGGCTGGATTCTCTCTCCCTGACTTTGCCTGCTCAGTCCTGTCGTCCTCATCGCTGCTCTACGAAAAACGGACAACACTTCCCGGACTAACGATACAATCCTCGAACTCTTTTAACCTTTTCGTTCAAAACATTTGTCCAACCCTTTCCGAACTAAAATGCACGCCGCGAGACTAACGGCGGATTCACGGGAATTTTTCATCATAAAATGCAACAACAGTTTTTTTTGCCTATTTTCATTAAAGAAGCGTTCATTTCCGACAAAACCGTTAAACCCATTTGCCGCGTCTGCTTTCTTTGCAGCGAACACATTTCTAACTTCCTATTACGGGGTCAAAAGTCACGGGCGTGCGCAATGTGTCAACAGCGATTCCAATTATAAAATATGACCTTCCCCACGCGACGTAATCTTTCGGCATAAAATCTCATTCCGTCCGTGCCCTTTATAGATTTCCCATTTGCCTTAAAGGTGTTAGAACCAAAGCGTAAATGCATAACGGCGATGTAAAACCAACACCATGTACAACGGTAATGCCCCTCGCAGGGAGGAATAATTCCTGCAGTGGCGCGCGGGGGAGGGGGGGGGGGCAGTGCGTGAGTGTGTGTGCACAGCTGCCCATTCCCCCACCCCCCCCCCAAGTAAATTTCCAGGCAACAAAAAAAGAGCTCAAATTAAAAACGGGGGGCACATTTGTGCGTTTTTGACGCTGGTGGCCCATGCAGCAATGTGGAGCCACTTGGTTGCCGTTGGGAGTTGTAATGCGGTGGCCGTTGCAACTTCGGCGAACTGGCAGTGACGGACAAAAAGGAGGCAAAGGTAGTCGGCCCTCGAATATTTTATTTGGTCTTTGTTCCCTCGTAGGCGCAAATGCTGGCTTCCAACCCGCCCACCACCGCCGTTCTGCGGCGAGACGACGGCCTCAGGAAGAATTTATCTGGCCAATAACGGCTGCGAATGATGATTCTAATAATCCCTCAAGCAGACGGGGCAGTGCGGAGGAGGGGTGGGGGGGGGGGAAACGCTTCTCTTGCACAGAATTGGCGTGTCAACCACAAACAAGACGCCTCTTTCTCTCTCCCACCACCGATTTTGCGAATAATGATTTCAGCGAGTGACATTAGGGGGAACGTGCAGTCAATGCCATCGACGGTAACGTAATTAAGAAAAAAAAACACAATTCCCATTATTATTATAATGATTATGTTTTAAAATATTCCAATGACCACGTCTCATTTCATATTTCCTCCATCTCAAGCGACGCTACTTTGCGACGCTGCTGTCCACCCCCATCCCGCACCCCCCCCCCCCCCCCCCCCCCGGTAGCCATGGCTCTTGCACGCTTCGCACTCCGGGGCACCGTACACGGGCAATGCGCCATGTGCACATTGCCACGGTGCCGTGGATAAGAGGCGGGGGGGGGGGACATGCTGCCGTGTTTTTGAAACTCGTTTGTAAGGTTGCCGCGATGTCATTTTTCACGACCCAATACGAGTCTTTTTTTTGTTTTCGTAGCCATATTTGCGCTCGGTTTAGGCCACGCGGTGGAATATTTTCTTGTCAAAATTCTTCTCATTCACCCCTCCAATCACCCTAAGATTGTCACGTTGACAAAGACGTTATTTTTATTATTCATACGTGCCGATGTATTGATGGCAAATTCTGGCCGATAAAGCTTTTCCACTCGAATTCCAAGCACGGCGAACCGGAGCTCAAGAGCCGTTGGGGAGGAACGTCGCCGTACGCCGAGGTTAAATTCGGTCATGAAAAACCCTAGGCCACCAGTGGGGAGGACATTTATTGGTCATAATTCCATCAACACATCAGCACTTATAAATAATATTTTTGTGTGCCTGACAAACTTATCACGTGGTGGAGCGGTTAAAATGACGAGAATTGTTTTTGACATTAATCCGCCAGCACAGAAACCGACATGGAGCACAATATGGAATTAATGTTCGCAATTTAACAATTATCACGATGAGTCTCCCGCGACACTGACTGAAGGTTCAGCAGCTGCAGTTCATTCAACATAAGCATCCTATAAGTATTTAAATAACTGCAGCTTTACTACCCATGACCCTGAATCCGTCTGTAACATTCCAAACACTTCAATAATTAAACAAACTCGGAAAATAATGAGGTCACATAACCACCATGCTGTTAATTACTCCGAAATGATATTCGTAAAGCACTCATTTTACGGGCATTTTCTCTTTATTTGAAACAATTATCATTGTGTTTATTACATCATGAATATATTTACCAGGGAATTGCATAATCTGTTAACGGATAAAATGAGCAACATCAATCGCGATGCGACGAAATATTGCGAAATGTCCTACACGATTATCGTGGGCCTTGTATCGTGCAACCCATCGGTAGCTTCAGTGCATCGTGGCAACCTTACTCTGCTCAGCGCTTCCAGGAGCTATGCCCCGATCGGAAACGTTTCACTTTTTCTCGCCGTTTTTCAGAACCGCACCGTTGCGCGCACAACACATCCCTGCACCACCCCCCCCCCCCTGCCGTGTGAAGCCCATGGTCGTGTCGTGGGTGTCGCCGCTCGCTCGCCCGGCATGTTTGCGAGAATGGATGAGCGGTGCGTGGCAAGACCGCCTGCCGAAAGATGGCACTCCGTAGATCACCGCAAATAAGTGTCGCCGCCAATCTATTTGTTGAGGGAAATGCACGTGGGGAAAGCAAACGGCTCTCATTTTGTAGATGTGTGACCAACCGGCTCGTGTGCCCCCCCCCCCCTCTACGGAGCTGTCCGACTGGCATTTCAAGCTTCGTTAATGAGAACATCTGAATACGATGCCTGATTTAGTCAGGCAGAGGACGTCGGCAAACTGCAGACGTGTATAATGCGAGGATAGGCGATTAGCTCTACTGCCATGCCGCCACCGCCTCGGGGAAATCGAATATGTTCAGCGTTAATTTTATTTAGAAAAGCACACCACCGTTGCTTTTAAAGGCATTGTTAGTCACTTCTGAGAATTGTAGCGACACGACCGCAATCTACGATAGCTGGCGCCAAGCTGTGCAACACGCTTTCCCGCATGGCCTCATGGGAGCCTCGGTACATCTATCCAACCTGAAGATGTACTGATAAAGTAATTTTATTTTAGTTTTTCTTCTGATAACGTACATGTAGACGTACGTCATCGGAACATAACCAGAAGAATAACCGATGATGCACACGTACGTCATCAGAATGGGAAAGGGTTAAGAGGTGGCAACCGTAATCAGGGAGGTAAACTCTGAACTCTTCCCGCACCCATGTCCGTGGCCGTGACGTTGTTCTCCTGACTCGTATGTGGTCAGACAAGCACGAGAACGGACTGCAGGCCGAGACGGATAAGGAGGAAGCTCAGCGGATCGCCGAGATGGGAAGGCCCATCCTGGGGGAGAACTCCCGCCTCGAGGTCATCATTGAGGAGTCCTACGAGTTCAAGGTGGAGGCAAAAAAACGACCAGAGTGGGGCCTTCGGCATCGCTCGCTTGGTTCCCATGGACAATGACAAAGCCGGCTGACCGGCCTGGTGGAGTTAAAAAAAAAAAATTGTTGACGTGCCGTTGTGTGCTGCTGAAGATGATATTCATACTTTGGCTTCCCAGTCGAAATAACCAAATGGGTCAATTTTGTTGAGTGGCAGTGTTAAATTTGCCAAATGTTTTAACTCCTCTCAAAATTATCAGTGCATTGCTTAAATCCACATTTACACGAACGAAATTACCGCAGGCTATAATCCGTCCATGAACCGTGGCACCTTTCTTTCACGGTAGCCTCGCGGCCGTGAGGAAGGCGAAAGCAAGCACCAAACGCGCGTCCGCGGTTTCACGCGGGCGTTTCGGCTGCCCTGACCGCGCTCGTGCGCCCGTTCTGCCGCCACTCAGAGCACGGTGGACAAGCTGATCAAGAAGACGAACCTGGCCCTCGTTGTGGGGACCAACTCGTGGAAGGAGCAGTTCAAGGATGCTATCACCGTCAGCGCAGGTACACGGTGGGGGTGGGGGGATAGAGCAGGTGGCGGGGCGGTTTAAATCCCGCTGACGAGCAGATGTTCCGCATGCGCACCGCCGCCGTTCTATTGCCCATGCGGGAACTCCCTAGCTGTCTCCTTCATCACGGCCGGCGATGCTGCTCCGCCTGCTTGTCTCTAAGCAGGGCAGGGAAGAGAGTGGGAGGGAGAGGGGAGAGAGAGAGGGAGGGAGGTAAATCAGTAATACTGAATATAAATCACAAATTCAATAATGAAGAATGTTTACCTTTTTCTCGAAAGATCAAAATAACACATACATTCCACGTCGTATTCAATGGGTCCCATCCTTTATGAGCTGAAGCATATTTTAACATATCACGTGCTCAGAGTAACAACCGTGAACAGTTTCAAATGGGGCAGAGCAGTGGAGGAGATGGGGATAAGGAGACCTGGGGACATGAACCGGTAGAATGCAACTCAACACATCACAATAAACTAAAATCCAAACCCGAGGGTGGATTGCAACAGGAGAGGATTATTTATTTTAGGTGGTTAGATGGCTCAAGAGGTCCGATCACAGAGCTAGGCCTTTGGGCATGTGCTCAACAACTGTGGTAAAAAAAAAACCAATCGAAATCTAACTAACTAACCTTTTTACTTTTCACAGTTAAGGCCCCACTGAGCTGTCGCTCTTTTTCATAAGCAATATGGTCACAAATTGATCGCTCATTGAAGTGGCTTACCACGTGGAAACGTATAGCAGCCAAGTCCTCTAAAACGCACGTTGATTCTAAATGTAGAGGGATAAACCCGAGGACCTGGAGAAACATCCACGTGAGAGAGACATGCATCAGGGTTGGGATGAAACCCACAACCTCCCTGGCAAGCCAGGCAAGTAAGTTAATATCTCACCACTGTGTGGATTGTATTGAAAAACCATTTACACGAGATCGTGGTTTCAATTGCGACCCTGACGCCTGTCTATTTGGAGTTTGCATGTTCTGTCTCTCTCCCACGTGGTCGCATGGATTTTTCTCCTGGTCCTCTGGTTTTGTATTGAAAGTACAATCTACGGGTGGGTAAAAACAACAACAACAACAACAAATCTAAACGCGCCATTTATTTTTGTTCCTCTCTCAGGCGACGACGATGACGACGAGGAAAGCGGTGAGGAGAAGCTGCCGTCGTGCTTCGACTACGTCATGCACTTCCTCACGGTCTTCTGGAAGGTGCTCTTTGCGTTCGTGCCGCCCACGGACGTGTGGAACGGCTGGGCCTGCTTCCTCGTCTCCATCTCCGTGATCGGCCTCCTCACCGCCATGATCGGCGACCTGGCCTCGCACTTTGGCTGCACCGTGGGCCTCAAAGACTCGGTCACCGCCGTCGTGTTTGTAGCCCTCGGCACCTCCATCCCAGGTCACCATCGCCCCCCTCACCCCTCTCCCAACCCCCCCACCCCTGCCCCCCCCCCTCTCTTGCTGCATTGGCAGACCATGGGAAAAATCAATTACAGGAGGTCGTGGGTTCGATTCGGACCCTGTCGCCTGCTGTATATTTGGAGTCTGTGTTTCTAGATAACTGGCTAAACGGGATTTTCCATGTGAAAAATAAACACCGAGTTGAAACGGCGGAAGAAGAAATTAAAATAATAATAATAGATCGCGATGCCAAAGAGGTGGGAGTAACGAATACAGAATACTGACCACGATTCATTTTTAAAATTGCTTTAACTTTTCAATTTATGCTCCTGCCAATGTAATTTCTTTCACTTTCTTTAAATGATAGAGAACATAGAAATACGTCACATTACATATTATCTTGCCATTTTATTACGTAAAATTACTTTTAGTGCTTCGAGTACAGGGTTATGAGAAGACTCGGGAAATGACAGCTGTCTCTTATTTTCCGTTGCAGAGCCATGGGTTCTCGTGCCAATAAATTTATAGTTTAGTCAATAAACCCTTTCCAGACCAATATTATCAAGCAGGATATATTTAGGCAAGCTCTGGGCTGGCTTCAACCTTTCTGGGTCTCATCTGCAGAGCCACGCTTGCGAATAAAATGCTGCTTGATTCGTAGGTGTTATTGGCAAGAGCACTCCGTATGACATATGGGACATCGTTAAATGCAAAAAGCCATACGGTACACAATCTCATTGTGCATTGCCGCGGAGAAATGCATAATGAGAAGCCCTCGGAAATTCTGCAGCTCAACCAGCGATGGGGATGTGCGTAAATGATGCTCGAGGCCTTTTTTGATGTCACAGCCGTGAATATCCCTGTGATAAAGCTAAGAAGCGGTGGCATTTGCGGGGACGGAAATGGCAGCACGTGCCTCGTGGATTGCATTGTCGTAGGATGGGTGCCGTTTCGTCACTGTATGTGGAACCATCTTCTCACAATGCAGGCAGCTGTGTCTGTCAGCATGACGGCATCAGCTGTGTGTCAGCTGTGTGCGCCTGACTGATGGCACCTCTGTGTGCCTGTCTGTCAACATTGAGACGTTGTACTGTGAGGGTTACAGCTATTGGTATTTTTTTCACGAAGTGATCGGCATCATTGGTAACAATTCTTAAATTGAATCACAACCCAGAATGTTGGTGATTCATTGAGTTTCATGTCAGATGGGGGGGAGATGATGAGATGGGGGAGGGAGGATTGTTATATTTCTACAACAATCGTTAAGAGGTGAGAATCATCCTTGATTACAAAGCACAATTAAGACCCCCCGCCATGGTGCAGTGGTTCACACACGAGACTATGAAACCCGCCGCCTGAGTTTCGATTCCCAGGCCACGGCTAATATCAGTGGTGAGTAAACTCTAACCCGGACCTGCCCCCCCTACCCCACATAACCAACCTCCGCTGGCCAACAGACAGTGAGCAGAACCGTCATCCAGCAACATGTTAACACAATCGCCGTAAAGTACCATTCCATTGCAATTAGGAGTATTTGGCTGCTACACATCTCCACGTGATAAGCCACTTCGTTGCACTATCATGTGTGATGGCCAGGGCCTTACGTGGTAAAAATAATAGTTTTTTAGTTTTATTTTTACAACGCTTGATTATTTTTACGACCTCGCCAAGTACGTTGGGAATATTTCCTGCCTTCGCTCCTTTTTGCAGAAATACCCCCCCCACGTTATCTTGCACGCTCTCCCAAACCCCACGCAACTCAACCCCCCCCTCCCCCACCCCCCAAACGAACCCCCGACCCTTTCTTCCCGTTGACGACAGACACGTTCGCGAGCAAAGTGGCGGCCGTGCAGGACCAGTTCGCCGACGCGTCGGTGGGCAACGTGACGGGCAGCAACGCGGTGAACGTCTTCCTGGGCATCGGCATCGCGTGGACCATCGCCTCCGTCCACTGCTGGGCGAACAACAAGAAGTTCTACGTGGACCCCGGCACGCTGGCCTTCTCCGTGACGCTCTTCACCGTCTTCGCCTTCATCTGCGTCGGCGTGCTCATGTGGCGGAGGAGGCCCAGCGTGGGCGGAGAGCTGGGCGGTCCACGAAACATGAAGCTCATGACCACCGGCCTCTTCATCCTGCTCTGGCTCATTTACATCCTGTTCGCCGGGCTCGAGGCCTACTGCCACGTCAAGGCCTTCTGAGGAGGAAGCGAGCCAAGATGTTTTTTTTTTTTGTAATAGCGAGTGGGGGATATAGATGAAAATTGAAAGAAAAAAAAACAAGTACGATGGATATATGTATACGGTATATTGCGAACGAAAAAAAAAACACTCGAAAGCACTGTGACGATAGGATTTTAGTTTTGACGAGAATTTTAAACAAGACAGTACATACAGGCCTTCTTGGCAACTGAAGAGATTGAGTGTGTTTTTTTTTCTTACCGTGAAGTGCGGTTGTTACCTTGTTCTAACTAGAAATGTTTGTAAAATATCTAACGGCCATAAACATCCTTAAGGCACAACTTTTAACGGAGCAGCTGGAAGGGAGGAAAGACGAACGAGTCCCCGAACCCTCTGCAGCTCTCGTCCTGAGGTCATAAAACAAAACCCAATTGCGGCACCGCGAAAAAAAATCGAATTTCCAAAACGTGTAGAGCTCCATCGGCTTTAGGGAGATTTGGCCAACCGCCCCTGTAATTGTGCACATGAGCATTCGGCAACCGTCTCTCGCAGCTGATACGTGTAACGCATGAAAAAAATTCTGAGCGGGCGCTACTTTTATGTAAAGGTGAAGGGCATAGCCCAGAAATTTACTTGTGCCGTAAGTGCCACACTGCTGGGCCGAAGAAGCGCCTCCTCTCGAGAGAACACGATCAGGAGAGCCCCTCCAAAATATATTTTTGGCCTACACTCCCACACCGGCTATTGTTTTAAACGCGTGGGAAAGTCAGCGCCGCGACCGAGAGAGAGAGAGAGAGGCATTTTCACATTCGTGTGCCAGATCTGGTTCGGGCGGACCCTTTGCTGCGCGAGTGACAACAATTCAGCGAGGGTTTCATCGCCACTTCAGAGTCGAGGCAAAGCCACCGCCGCGGCTGTGCCAGTACAGACGACGTCTGTGACTTTGCTCGCCGAGGATTGCGCAGCGCACACGCCTTGGTTGCTTACTCTCTTCGGAATTCGTATCACCAGGTCTCGTTGGCAGAATTAAGGGCACGGCCGTCACACGCAGTTGTCAGTAAAAGTGACCACTGCTCTAGAAATAAAGCACAGTTAGTTTTTTTTTTTCTGAAATAATTATAGTAATAATGATAAGAAGATCATCACATATGGTTTGTTTATATTTCGGGTTTTTTTGCACGTCTTACGAAAAAAAAAGCAATTATAATTGTACGCAACAAAGATGTGTGCGAGAATACATTAAATTGGTTACCCCCCGACCCCCCCCCCCTCCCCGCGTTTAACCTTGCATGGCACACGGTCTGAGAAAAATGTCGAGGACACACACGAGGCACGCGGTGGGAACGTTGTGATGTCGCGGAGCGGTAAGAAACTCGGCAATGGCGTATTGCGATGAAAGCGCGGCTGGTTCTGCCACGGATGAGATTCAGCTCTTGCGGTGCCCCTCCGCACTCCGAGTCCTCTGCCCGCGCTTCGCCGAGGAAATGCCACGGGTTGTTTTTTTTTCTTTTCTTTTGCTTGACATTTGTGAGAAACACAGTTTTAAACACACGATTTTAAAACACAGTTAAAAGAAAATGACTTTGCAACAGAAAAACACTGTGTGGGAAAATCCACGCGTGGAAGAAACGACGGAGGGCACTCATCATTGGGGCACGAAAAGCCAAAAACTGGATTCCCAGCCTTTTCTGCAAGTGCAGCTGGGGGTACGCATTGCAACCGTAGTCATTTGGTAGCTTCCTCAACAGTGCATACGATCGGCCAATAAACGTGCTCAATGTTCGTCCACCCTGTCGCTTGAGTCCTTGGTGTGATCGCTGCAGCCTTGGAGCCATGTTTTACCGTCTTAACATGGTACGGGTCACAGAAAATCCCGACGTGGGAGGCCCAGACTCTCGCGGTTCAACATGTTGCCCCGCGCAAAGAGGGCCGCGACCAAGGGTGTTGGGTCGGACAATGCGACGTTCGCTTCTCGCGAAGCAGAAAGGGCGCCTTCCTCGATGTCGCGTCGCGTTCAAGCCAGCTCGCGACGTTGACAGCGGGGGTTCGGTTGGGCGCTCGTCGTTTGAAAAGAGCGACACGTCGAGAGTTTCGGGGAACTTGCCCATCGAGCCGGCCCATCTCCTCTCCCGTGGCCCGCGCGCGATCGGCGGCAAGCGTCGGATGAGATGGGCCCTTGTGGCCGTCGCTCATGACGGACGATGACGGACACAAATATAAAATAAAAACACCGCGACACACGCATGCAAGGCGCGGCGACGACCTTGCGACGGGGAAACGTGGAGCGGGAAGAAAAAATCCAACTCGTTTCTACGGATCCGGGGGGGGGGGCAATCGGCGTCGATATGCTGACGGGGGGGCCAGTGTGTGGGGGGGGGGGGCGGGGCGGGTGGGGGCGTATGTTACATTTCAAGGAGATGATGTGTGACAATTTGGATCCATGTAATTGTGTTTGTGCCACGAGTGGTTAGTTAATTTGATTTTAGAGTGTAATAAACCCTGACTTCTCTTACGGGTAAAGTAAGTCAATTGCACTCTGAGCATTATATAATTTTCGTGAAAATAAATTACGACGTTTGAATCAATTTCGGCAAAACGTGCCGGGTCGGCTACCCGTCCCCAAGGAATGTAACGAATGATCTGTTTTGCCGCGTTAATCTGTAAGGTTTCTCGCATTATGAATGTGCTTATTGGAAGACGACGTTATTTGTCTGCGGAGAATCGTGCGCTGATGTTGTGACGTTTTTGTTGTGTACCCCGACGCAACGTGTGTGAAAACGGGCGCCTGCTTAAACGTCGCCCTCTTCACTTCGCGTACTAAGTGTGGTCAACCCGATCCCACTTGGAACTCCAGTCAACCCGATTCCACTTGGAATTGCAGTCAACCCGATCCCGCTAGGAATTGCAGTCAACCCGATACCACTTGGAATTGCAGTCAACCCGATCCCGCTTGGAATTGCAGTCAACCCGATCCCACTTGGAATTGCAGTCAACCTGATCCCGCTTGGAATTGCAGTCAACCCGATCCCACTAGGAATTGCAGTCAACCCGATCCCGCTTGGAATTGCAGTCAACCCGATCCCACTTGGAATTGCAGTCAACCCAATCCCGCTTGGAATTGCAGTCGACCCGATCCCGCTTGGAATTGCAGTCAACCCGATCCCACTTGGAATTGCAGTCAACCCGATCCCGCTTGGAATTGCAGTCAACCCGATCCCGCTTGGAATTGCAGTCAACCTGATCCCGCTTGGAATTGCAGTCAACCTGAGCCCACTTGTACACAGAGCTCTGAGTCACAGCCCAATGCAGCGTCATTTCGTCGTAATGCTCGCTGAGAAACCTGGACATCACTTCTACTCAAGTCGTATTTTTGTATCGCACGTACAAGCTAAAACATGTGAATGATGCTCGCAGTTACGTTTAACTCGCTCAAGACACGTGCAATAATTGCACCAGCGCTTCGGTTGTCATTCGGTGATCATGATAAACTAGTTTGGAAAGATTCTAAATATTTCTAGATCGTCCGTTGCAAGATATAGTTAGTGAGGCTTTTATAATCAACCACGTTTTATCCACCGCTGGATTAAGGCCTTCCCATATCGCCACCACAGTCCTGTGACGCCACTCCTGCACACGAGTAGCTCATCCCCATCGCTCATTCTCCACAGTGGTTATCATCCTCCCGGACGCGAGCTAACCCTTGTGCGCTTACTTGGTCACGCGGTAATGATAATTACTATTTACCACATCAACTGGTTATTTTTAGCCCCACAGTGGAAATCATGCAATGATTCAATTTCTCTTCTTGAGAGCTCAAAAACGGACCTGTCGTGATTTAACCAGATAATTTTCTTGGCGACACATCTCACTCTTCGAAACCTTCGTTTTCATTTGTTTGTTTCGTGAGATGTCAACAACCTTCACATCCGAATTTCCTGTCGCGGTATGCCAGCCCATCGGACAGGCGTTCACTCGTCGCAGTCGCCACAAAAAGAGCCTGACGCATGCGGTGCATCACGATGCGTGACCACGGATTCGTTCCTTTGAATACATTCTTGGGTATAAGCTCAACAATCGCGAAAGCACTCGAATGCGCAGTTTAATTTACGTCAACGGAACGTCGCAGGCTGTATGCGCAGTTTAATTTACGTCAACGGAACGTCGCAGGCTGTATCTGATCGTGTTTAACCCGCTCCTTGTCTTAACTAAACGTACGTACAGTTGCTTCAGAATGATCTTAGCACAAAATCGCGCTGCGTAGAGCTGCATCCTCACGGATTTCACGCGGCAAGACGTGTGTAATATACTTGAATATATTGTGTGTAAAAGAAAGAAAAAACGTATTTGTTATCTGTATATTGAGATGATCTCTATTTGCAGCATCAGTACCAAACTTTAGTGTCGTGACAACGTAAAAAACAAGGCACGTTGCGTCGTTTAAGATTAGTACCCCTGGGTAGGCTGGCTGAAGAAGAAGAATAAAAAAAAACATCATCATCAAGTAAGAAAAAAAAGCCCAATTGCATAAAAATAAAAAGATTTGAACAAGAGTTTTAAATGTACATTCCAGACACGGTGGTGCCGTGGTTTTTTTTTTGTTGCATGTACATTGCGGTTTTGTTTTAATTTTATTTCAACAAAAAATGTCCCAAGTCGATCTTTTTTTAGTGTGCTTTTGTTGTTTTTGTGTGCGTGCGTCCTTGCCTGTGACAAGCATGACGTTCTACTCTGAAGCGCGGACGCGTTTAGCGCACACCCCCCCCACCCCTCCCGTGCACCGTTGCGACTTTGCACGTCGGTGGTGTAAGTGTGAAACTTGGAATGGGAAAAAAAAAGACGAGTTAACCCCATTAGACGTTAGAATATACAATCTAGATGTTCGACATTTATCTCGATTGTAATTAAACGATTGTTTTTTGTTGTTGTTGTTGTTGGCGTTCGTTTTATTTATCTCACCCCTCCGGACAAATGACGATCACCGTGATACTATTATCATTATCATCATCATCATTATTGTAAAGCATTAAAGCGTTGTCGATTGTCAAATGGCACCAAAGCCCGAATGTGTCGTTGCGGGTGATGCAGCTTCCGAGGATGAATGCTCTGTGCGCGCTCGCGGCCTTTCCTCCCCCGTTTCGTCTCCGCTTCGTCGTTGTCACCACCGCTGATTTCGTCTGCATTACGACCCCACCCCCCACTCCCCATCCCCTCCAACCCCAGTTCGAAGGCGGCTGTGTTCCTGTGACCGGTGACATTTATGTATCGGTGTGTGTGTGGGGGAGGGGATTGCTCGTGTAAGCGCGCTTCTGTTGAAGGTGGGGGGGGGATGGTGTGACTCGGGGAGCAAGTGCTCCACTCCCAATGTAAAAGTGTCATTGTTGCTCACGAGTGGAAACTGGGCCCAACCCCATTCGTCGCCCTTGAGCGGCCGCACAGATCAGTGCAAACAAAAACAAAGACCCCCCCCTCCCCCCCATAGCCTTCACATACTTTTGGTTCAAGTGCTGTTAGCGAGCACCTATGAAGGCTAGAACGACACACGAGGGCTGGGTGGTCAGCACCACGCCCGATCGCCTTTGTCTCCCCAGCAACGATGTTTACACACCGCACCAGGTACTCATTTGAGGCCCAGTCGACATAGGGGAGGCCCTAAACCGGTTCAGATAATCGCCACCCGGTGTTGGCCGTGAACGTGAATCGAACTCGTGTCGCCGGGTTCATAGAGCAACGCTCCCCCACACACACCAGCGCACATACGCACGCACTTCGGGAGCCTGCAGGAGCTATGGCATAATAGCGTCAACGCGATGTTCTGGATTGGCGGTGGGTGGCATTGGTGATTATGGATAAGGTGTTACAGCTATTTGCGCGTATGCTGATTCGACAATAAAGGAGATATTGGGCAAAAAAATATATAGCTCAGAATCATGATCTTTATTTATCCTGGAGAAATATGATGAGCTTTTTTTTACAGACGTCCAGGATGTCGCATAGCCGTCCATCGCGAATTCGCCCTGACCAATTAACCACCCGCACCAGCGCAGTATTTGAGCACGGTGGGGCTGTAGTTGAATATAGATGTTCACGTATCTGACCTTTTGCACATGTGTGGATATAGCGAAGTTCCCAACGAGTCGGACATGAGACATTGTGTTGGGTTGAAGGGATTTGTCATCACCAAATGGACAGCGCCCTTTTGTTTACCTGCAATTCTAACGTATGGCTCAGCTTCTGATGGCACAGCCGAGGACAATTGGGCTTCATGCCGGCAGCAATTAATCGCATTTGAGTAGCAACGCTGAGAACGGCGAAAGAGTCGCCAGCAGTTCTGGAAAACCGAATTGCAAAACCTCGCAAGGGTTACTTTCTTGTTTGAGCTCCGCTCCTCTTCCGTATCCTAAACAGCAAAGGTTGCAATATCACAAAGTTAGTGACATCCTGCTCAAATGTACATTGAGGGCTCATCTGTTTAAATCCCCAGAGCCAGTTGAAGAAATTCCACATTCCTGTGGTGGGGGCGAGTCTATCCATGACAACCACTGTTGGCTTCCCCACAAAATGGTACCTGTTTCATCGACCCTCGGAGGGATGATGGATTGAGTCAACCCCCAGGATTTGAACTCGCAACCGTTCGATTGCGAGCAGCTCGTAAATTTCTGAATCAAAGTCGGAAATGCGTCGGTCATAGCAGCAATGAATCAGAAGTTTATTATCCAAGTAAATAACCCATTGAGCTCTACAGCTTTTTTTTTTTAAAGGGTGACTCAGCCACCAGACATGGTTACA